GGGGGGGGGGGGAGAGACACACAAATTACCAATATCTAGAATGAAAGAGAAGATAACACTACAGACCCCACAGACATTAAAGAATAATAACTCTGCACAAATATGACAACTTAGATAAAATGAAGCAATTCCTTGAAAGCCACAAATGACCAAAGCTTCCCTAAGAAGAGATAGATAACCCAATCCATATCTAGTAAGACATTGAATTAATAAAGTATTTGATAGTTTCTTGGGGTAATGAAATTGTTCTCTAATCCAATTGCTGTAGAGATTCCATGAACCTACACATACCTTAAAACTCAGAATTACCAGCGCCCCTCCTCAAAAAAAGTCAAATTTACTCTAATTCTTAAAATTGGGGGGAAAAATCAATTCAGGAAAAGCCAAATTAATGAATATCAAAATGGACAAAAGTAAATAGGAAATATACAGAAAAAAACACACCCATATCCAAACTGGAAAGATTTTAAACTTCCCTAGTCATCAGACAATGCAATTAAAATAATAGTAAAAAGTCATTTGGTACCCAAAATGTGATCAAAGCAAGTACTGGGAGGCTGCAGACAGCAGGACTCTCTTACTGCAGGTAAGACTACAGCTGCCTAATCCCCTGGAGTGGAATTTCCCAAGCTGAAGCTAAAAATGGGCCTGCCCCCCTGTGCTCCCACTCCCCACCCCTGCAACCAGCAATGCCTCTTCTGAAATTCTCATAGGAACACAAAAAAGCACATGCCCAAGAAGGGTCATTTGCAACATTGTCTATAAGAGCAAAACATTTTTTAAAGTTAGAGAATTAATACTTGGTATATTATCCATACTGAAATACTATGCAATATTTTAAATGATATTTCATGATAAGCTATTTTAAATAAATGGACTTAGAACTATGTGAAATCAACTTAGACAAAAATCTCAAATATAGAATGTTGAATGCAAAAGCAAGTTGTAAAATGACACTACATAAAGTTTGAAAACATGAGGAACAATGTTCTATATTGTTGATGGCTATATATAAATGCTTTAATAGTATAAAAGCATGCCTAGGAAAAATAAACACAAACTCAGTATAGGTACTATCTCAGGGGAAAGAGAGGAATGTGTTCAGGGTACAACATACTAAATTGTGTGTGTAATTTCTTTTCTTTTTAAGAAAAACCAAGCAGGGCAAAATTAGAATTCAGTGGAGATGGAGGATGGATTCATGGGACTTCATCATGTTATTGTGTTTTTTAAAATATTTGAAGTATTTCATAATCAAAATAATAGTTACCACGGCAGACAGTAATACACATACCAGTGGTTAGAGCCTTAGAAGTGAGCACTGCAGCTGGCTGCCCAGGCTCTGATCCCCTTTCTACTGCTCTCTAGCTATGCGACTTAGAAAAAATTACTTCACTTTCCTGATCCTCAGTCTCCTTATCTGTAAAATAAGGATAATGGTAATAGTATTTTTGTGAGGGTTGCACGAATTAAAACGTAAAATGCTTAGTATAATGCCATAGCAAATACAATATGTGTTCAAGTTTTTTAAAATTATTATTATTATTATTCCTCATCTTTTGAAACTCAACTGTCATTTCTGTTTAACTTACCCCAACACTGTCCCCATGCCTAATCCATTATCAATCCTGGGCCAAGGAGAACCGAGCACTCCATCCTGACTTCCCACCTTGCTTAACTGTGTAGCTTAACTATTTGTCTGTCTTTCTGACTATATTATTTTCTTATTTATTTTTGTATCCCAAATGCCTGGCAATGGTAGAAATATAAGAATCATTATGAATAACTAAAAGAACAAATAAATGAACGGACAGGTGACTATCCTTCCTGCCTCCAATAAACCCACTAGTGTTTTCTCCTCCTCCTCCCTCCTCTTCCCAAGGGCCCTGAACTTATTAGACTGGCTTACGGCCCTCTAATCACAGAAGAAATACTTAACAAGGAGGCATTACTCCGAACATACACTCTTCTTGGATGGGAAGAGAAACCCATGTGTAGAAAGCAAGCTTAAAACAAAGGAAAGCGTCTCTAATGGTAGAATTTTTCAGACTCTAAGGTCACACACACACACACACACACACACACACACACACACACACACACACCAGCTCTCTCTGCTCAGAGGGACTGTATCAACAAGTGAGAAATATTGGGAGATAATGTGGGAACAGAGTCCTCAGAAGAAAGTTTGAATATTCTCTTCAAAAGTGGTGTGTGAGTCACATTTTTTAGAAACACAAGCCATATTCTTAGTGAGCAAAAGAATGTTTCTAATTTACTGCAGAAGCTGGCTAGTTAAGTCTTATTGTGAATTATTTACTAAAGACTAAAGTAAGGAATTCTTTTGTTAAGTAAATATCCAGGCCCTTCCTTGCCAAAGAGCTTTTGAAATCCTTGCTGTAATTATGCTGATGTTTTCTGTGTTTATATGTTAAATACCTAGAGCTTAATTGTTAATGGGTAAATAAGAGAAGCCCCACGGTTCTTGCCAAAAGGGGCCCAAGAGCTGGGGCTGGGAGAACAATGGCTCGGCGGGACCCCCCTGGAGCGGGTTGGAGGCAGTTAGGGAAAGAGCGGCAGCTTCGCTCTATTCTCTCTGGACGCCGCTTGCTGGGAGCCTGGAAAGGGACAGACCTGGGCTAAGACAAAGGGGACTCCTCAGTTGTGGCCCTGGGCCTGAACAGAGGTGTGGGGTGGGTCTTCGTTTCTCCTCACCACCAGCAGTCAAGCATCCCAGCTGCCCTCAAAAAAACTGACCGGAGAATCACGAGGCTGGAACAACTGTCTACCAAACAGCGGGGAGAGCTGGGGTCAGGGGCTGATTTCCCAAGGCAGGTGGCCTGAGTGGAACGCCACACCCACCACCCATGAGCCCTGCACGCCCTGTAAGCTCTTTCCTGGGATCCTCATCAATGTAATGGGGAGAAAGGTACCTACCTTCTAAGGGTTTTATTAAAATAAATGTCAATATTGTGGAAAAATGCTTAGAGCCCTGTCTGGCACATAGTAAGTGCTATGCAAGTTAAATATTTAACTGAGAGTTAAGTAAACATTGTGTTAGGTTTCCATAGATCACATTTCCCTGGAGCAGAGGTGCACACAACACCTATGGCTGTGGATGGTTTGCCCTGTTACGGTGGACTGCCGTACACATTTGATTGGCCCTCCCCCACACCAATGCATGCTGAAGTACAGTGTAGCCTCTCTACTCTCTGCAACACGTCCTCTGGAGGATTATATGCAGAGGCTAAGAATTTGTAAAGCAACTTCTGCCTACTTCGATTGAAAGCTCAACATGGTGTGTTCAGAGCGACCCTGTCATCTTCATCTTAGAGCTTCTCCCCTTAGGGACGGAGGATCTTGGCAGAAGCAGGCTGGGGCCTGCTGAGCCTGCCAGGGTATCTCCAAGAAAATCTTAGCTATTCTAGGTAGAGTAACCTGAAATCCAAAGTCAGCAGATCAGTTAGAAGAAAGGAGTTAACGAGAGATCTCTCTCAGTTTGCTGAGGAAGCCTTTTCTAATGTTGACATGGGGAGGGGAGCAGAGGATACTCCGAGGGTACAGGCTTGAGGCAAAGACCCGGTCCGGTAAGACAAGACAGGGCCCTCTGGAATCTCGTACTTCAGATGACTAGAAGGTGGTCACACAAGTAGGGGAGGGAGGGCAGGGAAGAACACTCTCAGGCTTACTAGACTCTTAAAATTTCAGCGTTGAAAGGGGGCATTTCATCCCTCAGCTAAACGCAGCCAGCCAAGAGCTGAGAGTTTCCATGTTTCCAGGTACAGAAGGCCCTGGGTCTCAGCCTCACTGAACCAGCGCCTCCTTAGGTGTGAACCTCCTCAGAGCACAGCCGTGGAGGGGCGATCTGCAAAGCAGGTGCCACCATCCTCTCTCCTGGACAGAGGAGTGTGTCAAAGAATAATCACATCTCTAATCCCACTGGAGCCCAAGGAAGTAGCTAATGACACACCAGGGCCACATAGCTATTAGTGACTTAGGCAAATGCCTGTGCTCTTCATCAGAATCCATTACATTCCCTCTCATCTTGGAGGGATCCCCAAGGGAAAGAGGAAAAAACAAGTGTTCTGCTCCTATCTTCCCATTCCCTGCAAGGGAAGGAAGGTCAGCCACCACCACACACAGATCTCGGGGCAGGGGCAGCAAGCCCCTCCTTTCTCTGCAGTCTCCCCCCACCCCGATTTGTTCCCACTGTGGGGTAGGCACCTTGTAAGAACCAAGGCCTGCAGCGCATTACCTGCCTTCAGGTGTGCAGCACCTTGTCTTCTCTACACCTTCAGAAACAGCTGGGCCCAGACATGGGACCTCCAGATGCCCCACCCTTCCTTCTGCCCAGGCTCCTGGCAAGAGAAGGTGTGTTCTCAGAGACCATACTCCAGAGGTGCTGGCAGGGCCTCCCAGGTGACCAACCCTCAGTCCCCCTCTCCTGTGAGGGCACAGGTCCTGGAGACCCTCTGCCAAGACCCTCTGAGGAAGCCAGGAGGAGATACGCACCCAGGTCAGGGAGGGGATGAGACCCCATGGGGAAAGGACTCCTCACTGCTACCTTTTATTAAAAACAAAGAGCCTCGGACCTGGAAAGGGCCTTGGAGATTGTGGGGGTCCGTCCAGGAAACTGGCTGAGGAGCACTGGAGCAAGAGACCAAAACCAGCCAAGTCGGGGACGGAAGGGAAGGAAAGGGTTGAACAGTGCACAGAAAGACAAAGAACAGGCAGTTCCAAAGAGCCAAGAACGCAAATCATTTGCAGACGCCAGTGCGAGCCTCAACCTCCAAGGCTCCTGTGGGAGTGCCTGTCGCTGTGGGCTTAGGCACGTCCACAGGTCTCTGTGAGTGTGAGCCTGCGTGTGTAAAGGTCCCCGGTGAGTCATCCCGTGTGTGTAATGATCCTGTCAGTCCGTGAGTCATGGAGCGTGTGTCAGAGCTGGGCCGTGTGTGTGTGTGTGTGTGTGTGTGTGTGTGTGTGTGCCTCAACCTCCAAGGCTCCTGTGGGAGTGCCTGTCGCTGTGGGCTTAGGCACGTCCACAGGTCTCTGTGAGTGTGAGCCTGCGTGTGTAAAGGTCCCCGGTGAGTCATCCCGTGTGTGTAATGATCCTGTCAGTCCGTGAGTCATGGAGCGTGTGTCAGAGCTGGGCCGTGTGTGTGTGTGTGTGTGTGTGTGTGTGTGTGTGTGTTCCAGTGTGCAGCCTGCCAGGGCTGCTCATGCCCACAGTGACGCTGGAATGTGAATGAAAGCCAGACAGCGCAGCGGAGGGCAGAGCACTCCCAGGGTGAAGCTGTATTTAAAAGGCACCAGGCTTCATTCACACCGTACATCACACACCACATTTCTGAACCTGTTCCAGAGAAAGCCATCTGTCCCCCTTCCTGCTGAAACCCTCTATCTAGGGAGCAGCAGTGTTAAATTCTTCAGGCTTAAGGGGTTGTTTTCAGAGTCAGAGATAGCCACAATCTTAGAACCCTGAATTTCATCCCCTGCTTTTAAAGAAAGAAAACTGTGGCAGAGAAAAGCCAACACCGTGGTCCCAGAGCCACAGAGCTGGCTTATGGCAAAGCCAGGTGGGGACGCGATGTCCTGACCGCCCACCCCGACCCCAGACCTCTGCCCACTGGCACAGAGTGGGTCCAGTTTTCTTCCTCCTCAGGCATGTGGTGAGATCACTTTTTTACTAAAATGCACCCACACCCTCCCATGGAATGAAACACTGATGTTGTGTTCTAGTCTGGGAATAACCTCATAGGCAAAGCTGGGGCATCTCTGGCGAGATGGCTGTAGACCTAGAGTCATCTCTTCTCCTAGGGCCTCACGCTCACCCCACCCAGGTCAGGAGGAGCCCCCCAGGAGACCAGTTCTTAGGTCTTCATGTCCGTAACTGACCAGGTCCTCTGGCAGACTTGACACTTTGTGATTCACACGTTGCTTATGAGACATCTATGAATGTCTCACTCAGAACTCCTGATTTTTCTCTTCCACTTCCTGGTAGCTGTTTCACTGCTCAATTTCACTTGTGCCACACACACACACACACACACACACACACACACAAAGCCTGAACATATAAATATGAAGATGAGGCTTGGGATTATCTATGAGTCAATTAACCATTCCATTCATTCTTCTCAGATGGCTCTGAGTTGACCGGGACTTTAAAGGGATCACTTCAGCCACTGGATTTATTGTTCTTATTTCATATTAATTAAGTACTAGACACACCGTGCTGCAGAGCCCATTCGGTAGGCACAGCCTCTGCCCTGCCTCCCTGGAGGGCAGAGATTGATTATCTCATTTATTTGGACTTCAAAGCCCTTTAACTCCAATCATCTCATCACGGAGTGTGGAGGCTGCTGGGACACAGAGGGCACGACAGGGCAGGGCGAATGGGAGGGACAGAGAAATCTGATCAGGGCTAGAGAAAGGCTGGTCTTACACCTGAGGCCAGGTTCTGCATTCACAGAACGGTGTTTTTCAAACAGAGCTCTGCTAGACACCTGCTTTGAGAAAGAGAGTTAGGATGTCTTCTTGTGTGGTGAACAGACTGACAAACCAAGTAAATATCAATATAGTAAGTGTCCCTCGCACATAGCACCTGGGCCAAAGAGAATAACCAAATGTGTCCTTGAATATAAATAAATATATTTACAAGAGTATTTCTTTCAGAATTATATGTAATAGCAAAAAAAAAAAAGATATAAACAACCTGAAAAAAATTTTAATAGAAGATTAGTTAAATAAATCATGGTACATCCATATAATATATAACAATGCCGCTGTGAAGAAGGAAGAATTATATCTACATGCATTGACTTGAAAAATGATTATTAGGTTAAAAAAAAAAGCAAGTTACAGAATATGATCTTATTTTGTATTTAAACATTTAAAAGGGGTAGCCTATAAGTAGATATATGTTTACATATGTTTGCATATATAAAAAAGTGGGGATGATATGATTGTGTGGAATAATGTGGAAATCTATGTGTATGGAAAAAATATGGAAGGACACATGGGAAATTGTTGACCTTGGTTACTCCAGAGGGTGGTTGGAATGGGTAAGAAAATTAATTTTAGATAAACTATGTATTGTTTTATTTATAAACATGAATTATTCTTATAACTTTAATAAAGAAGAATAAAATATATTGTAAAAATAAAGAGGATAGCCCTGGCTGGGTAGCTCAGTTGGTTAGAACATCGTCCTGATATGCCGTAGTTGTGGGTTCAATCCCCAGTCAGGGTACATACAAGAATCAACCAATGAATACATAAATTAGTGGAACAACAAATTGATCTCTCTCTCTCTCTCTCTTTCTCTCTCTCTCTCTCTCTTTGGGGGTGTGTAAAAAATCAATAAATAAAAATGTCAGAAAAAAATAATGAAGAGAATGATAACGGGCCTGAAGACGATTACTGGCCACACTCACCATCGCAGCTTGCCTATGTGAAATGCCGTAGCTATAATGACTTTCGAAGAGCTGGCAGCCATCACTTGAGAAAACATGGCACATTTGGCCTCTGCGGTAGCATCATGGAACAAAACAAGGACTCCAGCTGTCAGCTCAAAAGAAAAATACTGATTTACATAAACATATGTGACATATATGTATTCAATGACTTTGAAATATCTTACTCTAAATAGATAAAATTAATTAAAACTAGTGCAAGTTTCTGGCAACTGTACTCCAACTCCCCATTATTTATCCAGGGCATTGAAAATTGGAACACATCACAGATTCTTAAATCATATCCTGAATCAGGAGGAGGGAAGGGGAAGAGAAAGAGGGTTTGCTGTATGTGCCAGGCACAGTGCCTACCTCATCCCATTTGATCCTCATAATAATTCAGCCAGGTAGGAGGAAAGGGGACACACGAGCACACACACACACACACACACACACACACACACACACACACACACACACACACTCAAGCATACACTAGAAACTGCAGAACAAGGCAAGAGGAGACCAACAGAGGGATAGCCTAAGGTTCAGGGAAGCAATATCCCCTATAGCCTTATGATGGGCACCGGGAAGCTACTCAATAGTCCAGGATAGTAGTAATGCTGGGGTCCCTTGGACACCTTGGCCAGGAGAGTAACTGGCTTGGCACTGCATGGCTCCACTTTATCTCCCTTGAGAGTCTGAAGCTCTGGGAATGGGACCTAGCATGAAAGGAAGCTGTCGTAGTCAGGACTCTTCATTGCAAGTGACTGAAACCAAACTCAAACCAGCTTAGGCAAAACATTGAATTATTTGGCTGTCATAACTAAAAATGTCCATGATTAGATGGCTGAGTGAGATCTGGACTTAACTTAGATCAATCAGGACTCATTCTGTCTCTATTTCTCAGCTCTGCTTTCCTGTGTTGGCTTCATTTTTCAGGCAAGTTCTTTTGACATCACAGCAAAGACAGTCTCAGAAATTCCGTGTTACTTGGTCCCTTGCAATTATCTATTCCAATGAAAATAAAGCGCTTAGTTTCAGCAAAAGTGCCAGGGGTGACTCTGGTGGGCCCAGCTGGAGTCACACCCCCATTCTTGAATTAATTACCATGGTGATGTGATTGACCAGGCTAAGTCAGCCCTTCCCAGATCACATGGATTCAGAATGGGGGACTGATCTCTCATCCAAAATGGAAAGATGGTACCAAAAGGAGAAGGAAGGGATGCTGGGAAAGCTGATCATAGATACACATCGCAATGTCACATTGAAACCTACCAGCAAATTGTAAACTGTAAGAAACTGGCAGGTGTTGGTTGTTTGTACCTGTCATCCCTTGGGAACCATAAGGCCCTTGGAAATTGTTCTACACAATAATAAAAATTCTGAAGACTCCAAGGACCTTCTTCTCCCATTGCCAAAGCTAAGAGCATGGTGAAACGCCCAAGAACAGCCTGAGAACTCTTGTCAGTAAACACAGGAACCATCAGTTCCAGACTGTGGGGAATACCAGTTGCCTAAAGAGCTGTAAGGACACAAGGTTCCTCAATGATGTGGAGGCTGGAAACGTCCTAAAAGCCAGATACCTGGGTTCCAGCTCAAGCTCTGCCTGTAAGAAGCCATATGATATGATCTGGAACAAGTGTCTTAAGTTCTCTGGTGTCAGAGTCCTCATTTATAGAAATAAAGGGACCAGGCAAAGCACAATATCTGACGTTATCTTCAGCTTTAAAATTTTGATTCAATGTCAGGTAAAGTTGGAAGTTTACAGGTTGAAAAAAAAGTTTATGGGTGTCGCTGTGAATAAATAAGTGAGATAATAATAGGCTGAAAAAACATAAAACACCCACTGGTCAAATCCATGGCAATTTGATCAACAAAATAAATGATGATAGTAATGGCATATAATCCATGAATAAAATAAAAGTCTATGAATTCAAACTGATATACATAGATACATACATGCATGCATACATGAGAAGGAAAAGGAAAAGTTCTTCTTTAGGGTAAAATGTCAACTAGAAGGAACAGTGAAGCTCGAAAACCATCAATGGATATTAGAGGGTGAAGTTTGATGAAAAACAGGATATTTACAAAGTTTCAAGATATCTCCCCATAGATTTTTTACTAATTACAAAGAGCCTGGCCAGCGTGGCTCAGTGGTTGAGCGTTGACCTATGAACCAGGAGGACATGGTTCAATTCCTGGTCAGGGCACATGCCCCAGTTGCAGGCTCGATCCCCAGTGTGGGGTGTGCTGGAGGCAGCCAATCAATGATTCTCTCTCATCATTGATGTTTCTATCTTTCTCTCTCTCTACCTTCCTCCCTGAAATCAATAAAAATATATTTTTTTAAAATTTACAAAGGGGAAAC